CCCCAGGTCAGTGTGGCTGGCCCCACCTCGTTATTCTAGCTCAGCTTACCTGTGACCTCCTTACTGAAGCTCTCGCCTCACTCAGACTGAGGGCACCATGGCAGTCATCACGAGCATGTGTTCTGTGACAGTCACCGCTCTAACTCCCAGTGCCACTGCCTCGTGTTTCACAGCATTTGATAAATATTTATTGTCTGTGAGGAAAACTTGCAGTACTATCCAAGGTTTGTGCTTAGCTCCTACTTAGCAGTATGAAAACCAACTAATTCACCTAAAAAAAAAAAAGTGCAGTCAAGGAGGCTAAAGATTTGTTTTCTGACTTGGGATTTAATTACATGGAGAATTTTGACGAAAAGAAGGAAAATGTAGGGCACGATGGGGCGCTAATGTGGGAGTTTTCATCGTTTGCCGTCTCCTTCCTAGGGTCTTATAAATGAGCCAACTATCTTGTACGCGATAATGTATTACAGTGAGTTTCACTGGGTTGCGGGTCTAGATAAAATAGCACAGTGTAATTTAAATGGAGGGATGTTTGTTTGGTGAATGGCGGACTCATTTAACATTTGCTTCTCTTCCTAGGCACTTGAGCTGTGCACACCCCCAGTCAAACAGCCCAAGCTTCCTCCATCTCATCTACGGGCGGAGTGGATGGGCCAGCTGCTCAGCAATCCAATTTGGGCTCTGAGACAAAAGCGCAGACTCACAGTGGCCTGTCAAACACCCAGTGTCTCACTCACCACTTTGCCTGAGAGCCTTTGAACGGTGCTGGGTCTGTTCACAGCCACCTATGAGTTTCTGAAAAGCTGGGCAGGTCTCCAGCACCTGTCTGCTTCTCAGAAGCAGCTCCATGGGCCAAAGCTGAGGACTGAACCCAGAGAGGCAGCATTCCTCCTCAACAGACAACTTCAAACGGTGGGGACACCTTACGCCCACCTGCGTTAACTGTCGCTGCCCACAAGAGAGGCGGGGGGTGGTGGGAATGCCCCTGTTATCTCCAGCACTCACCACAGCGGGAGGGGGAAGCTGCTCTTGTGGGCTGAGAGGGAAGGTTTCAAGGTGTGCCTTTGATGTCAACCCTCCAGCATCACAAGATGAACACGTGCCATCTGTGGAGTTGCAAAGTGTCACACGGGGAGTGGGACCGGCCTAAGAAACAGACACACAGGCATTTGCCACTGGCGCTCCATAGCTGAGATGAGGCATCCCTCTTCAGAAGGACATTTCTAGAGGCCAGCTTCTAGAAAGTATAAAAAAGGCCTACGTACTTCTCCTAGCTATAGACGTACATACTTTATTCGAGGCAACAGTTCAAGCTAGCGTATTCGCCAACGGGTCCCCTGGGGTATTGTAATAACCTCTCTTCCCTATACCAAAATTTTCTTCTCGGCAATGTTACAAAATATTTATTCATTCCATTTTCCTTCTCCCACATCCCAGCTAAGATGATGCTGAATGTGTACAGAACTCAAATGATACTTTCTTAACACTTTCTATTTTGGTCAATTATCGTTTACAAATATAATGATTTTCCTGTCTGGGGAAAGTGGCCACACTTTGCAAAATTTATTTCATTTCTCTTTGTAAACTCTATGATATTGAATGGTTATTTATTTGATATATAGAATTTTACAGCTCAATTTCAGCACAATTAGAAGTGATCACTTTGGGTACCATCTGTGTAAAACTCTTTGTGTCCTTGCAAATTGAGAACAATAACTGAATAAAATCCAGTCAACTCACTCAGCATGATAAACATAGACGCCATCACGGCCATGAAGACATGTTTCAGAAAATAAATGCTATGATCGGCCCTTTACCCTGGCCCTGACCTGAGACTCATAGGCCCTCACTTGTCAAACCCAGAAGTCCAACACCCAAGCCCTCACCTGCGACTTGCATGTCTTCTTGTTGTTTATCTTAACTTAAAACCCCTTCCCTAAGAGCTCTGTGCACCTGCTCATGAGCAGCCAGGTGTTCAGCTGCCTAAACACCAAACCACCACCACCATGCTTCTCTGTAGGTTATGTTTACACTTGTGGACAGGGGAAGCAGCAGTGGATGCTAAAGGCAAAGGCCACAGGCCAAAACAACAAAAGGGAATCAAAAGTTATGTAAAGACAACTGCTGTGCGTTTTTTCCTTACAGGAGGTCAGCAAGCCATTTCCGAAACACAAAAAGGCAATATTGACTAATCTGTGGTGCTTAGTGACATTTGAAGATAAGTTGGATTCACTGTAAAAAAAGATACTCATGTATGTGGACACACATACATATATGTGTATATGTTAGGCAAAAACAGTCATTAGAAATCATTAAAGTCAATGCCTCAATAGATAACATTATAATCAAAATATATAAAGGAAGGTATAAAATATTTTTCAGGAAGTAAAGCTCAACACAAACCAGTTGACCTTCATTTTCCAAAGCTAAGTCCTCTACAAGTTCAAGACACAGACCCTCTTACACCCGAAGGACTTCAGAAACCACTTCTGCAAAGGCCTGGTGCAGTGACTTGAAAAGCAAATGCCCCAGTCTGTACATGATGCAGCTTCCTCACAGGTTTCCCAGCCTGTTGGTGGGGGTGGGAGCAGAGAAGAGAATAATTATTGGTTTTTTTTCCTGCCTGGTTGTTAAACACCCTAATTACTTCAAGCGTCATTACCACCACTCGCACATAAGCCATCCTTTGAAAATACTTTTCAATCTAAATGAAAACTGATGCTAATTTCTTTCTGAGAATATACCCAATATTAACAAAATTTGGAAAGTCACTGGATTTACTTTTAATCTTAACAGGGATGTCAATATTCTAAGTGCACTCAATGGAGATGACAATCTACTACCACCTGAAGCAGAACCAACAACAACCAAAAAACCCTTTAGGAAAACATCTCTTGTAAACATAAAAAATGTTATAATTATATATCATGTGTCATAACCTTTATTACTGACTTGCCATTGTTTCATTGTTTTGATACTAAAATATCTTTATATATATGTGTATATATATACATGAGTTTAAGCCACCAGATCCGGGACTCGAACCACGGTCGACTACATGGGAGTCCAGCGACATAGCCATTACACCATCTGCTGGTCCTGCTGGCCCCTTCCTATATTACTTACATTAGAATTAATTTTGTTGGACCTTTTTTTCCTTCTCATTGTTGTACTAGGTAAAATAACTTTTTCTGATTGTTATCCCAATAAATCAACCTTGTAGTGCAGCATGATCAGAGATTTTCATTAGTTGCTTCCTCTGAGTCTAGTGGATTAATAAATCATGACATTAATGATTTGTTTCTACAACAAAATGTAAGAATGAAACCAGACAGTAGAGAAATATGAGGGGATTTCAAAAAATGTATATAAAATGAAATTAAAGAGTTAACTTTTGTGCAAAAATATTTTTAATCCATGTATAGTTTTTTATAATAGACATTTCCCATGAACTTTATGAAAACCCCATTAGTTGAATGAATAAATAATTTAATAAATAATTATTTAATTTTATTTATTAGTAGTATTTAATTTGCTATAGGGCAAGTGTGCTCATCAGAGAGAGAGACAGAAGAGAGAGGGAAAGTAAGGAAGCAACTGCCAGATCTGGCACTTGAACTGCAACTAGTCAGGTGGGAGTCAAGCGCCTTAACTACCATGCCACCTGCTGGCCCTGAATCACTTTTTCTTAATTAGCTAGAGAGGATGTTTGCTCACTAAAGGGAGACAGAGAGGGGTAGGGAGAAAGGAATCACAATCCCTTCTCTTCCATTTCTCTGTCCTATTGGAATTTTGGTCATGCATACATATACACTGAGTCTATTTTTCAAGCTACCAGGTACAGGAATTGAATCAGTCAGTCAGCCATCTGAGATCAAACTCTCTTAACCCCCAGGCCATGAAGCCAGCCCAAATGCATAAATCTAAATGGAATTCATTTTGTGGTATTCAACCTGGTTTTGTTAGTAAATAAATTTGGTGATGAGAACCATAATGTGAGAGTGCTCATTGAAGACTCAAGAATGAGTGAGATTTGGGGTTAGGGGGAAATGTGTACACAAATGACCATTATACAAAGCAAAATGTGGTGAGGACCAAAGGTGTTCAAGACCCATACCTTGGTTCTAGAGAAGATGAAATTACACCTGGTTGGGAAAATAGTAAAGACTTCATAAAGGAAGTGACCCCTGTGATACAACTGAAAGGATGAGCAGAGAACTGCTGGGCAGAATTGGAGGGTGACCATCCAGAAAGAAGGAACACTGATACAAAAGAATGAAGAAGCAAGGAAATGCACAAGAGCCATGTTTAGTTAGTTCTGTGCACGTTGTGGGGTCCAAGGAATAAGCTTTTGAATGCTAAATTAAGACCTGTTAATACAAGTGGCTAGTGGTAGTTTTGAAACATGAAAACTAATATAAAAGCAATACATAAAGCAAACTAGAACTGGAAGAGTACAGGATAATTAGAAAGTGAGAGGTTCCCAAAAGGAGATAAGTAAAAATGAAGATCTGAATAAGGGCAGGAGAGATATAGAAGACAAACTGGAGGCAAAAACAATGGACTCTTGGCAACTTTGGTGCCACAAAATAAAAGAGGAATGTCAGGAAGACAAAGAAGAGCTGCTTTAGAACATGGCCTTCTTTTGTATTATTATTATTTTATTTTATACATGTCATCACAATGTATGACTTAGCTTGTAAAGTGCATTAACCCAGCATGAACACATCACACCAGTCCAGTTGAGGATAGTATACACATTATCATCAATAGACGATCCATTTCTATGTACCATTAATATCTTGCCTCTCTATTTTTCTTATTTTCTCACACTCTCCTCCTTATCCCACCCTCTTCTCTCACTGTCTCCAGTATCCATAACCATTTTCCATGCTTCTGTATCCCTTAATCTTTCAGTTTCCACCATAGAGTGTGGATAGTTGGCGTATATTAAGTGGAGACATACAATGTCTCTCTTTCATAGCTTGACTTGCTTCACTCAGCAGTAAATCTTTCATATTTGTCCACTTTCTATCAAATGCCAGGATCTTGTTTTATATGGCTAATAGTATTCCATAGAGTATATGTACCACACTTTTTCAATCTATTCATCTGTTTGTGGACATTTGGGTTTGTTCCATGTCTTAAAAACTGTGACTAACACCACAACAAACAGATGTGCAAACACTTTTCAAATTGAGCATTCTCCTGTCCTTTGGGCAGATACCCAGGAGCAGAATTACTGTATCATATGGTAGTTTTATTTCGAGGTCTTTGAGAAATCTACATATTGTTCTCCCCAGTGGCTGGACCAATTTATATTCCCACCAACAGTAAAAGAGAGTTCCCCTCTCACCACAGCCCTGTCAGCACTTACTATTATTATTATTACTTTTTAATCTTTACCATTCTGACTGGGGTTAAGTGGTGGTATCTTGTGATTTTTATATTCATCTCCCTTCTGGTGAAGAATGTTGAGTATTTTTTCATATTTTGGCAGTTCATATGTCTTCCTTAGGGAGTTGTTTGTTCAAGTCACCCTCCTATCTTTTTCTCAAGAATTACTTTGAGGGGGAACCAGCAGTTAGCGTAATGGCTATATCGCTGGACTCCCACGTAGTCGACCGTGGTTCACGTCCCGGACCGGGTAGCTTAAAACTCACGCCGGGCACGTGTGCGTGCATGCCCAAGATCCCGAGAGGAGAATGGAGGAGAAGGGATTGCGGCGTGACCATCCCCCCGAGGGGTGATTTCTCGCTTTCTGTCTCTATGTCTCTCTCTGTCTGTCTGGCGAGCGCATGTGCCCTATAGCGAAAATCTCTCAAAAAAAAAAAAATTACTTTGAAATTTAACTTTACTTACGTACTTACTTACTTAGTTTAACTTGACCAGAGAGGGACAGAGTGAGAGACAGTGAGAGAGAGAGAGAAGAGCACGTGCGTCTGAGAGAGGGAAAGTGAAAAAACAAGTCACCAGGTCTGGGATTCAATCCATGGTCGGCCATCTGGGAGTTCAGCACCCATAACCACCACGCTACATGCAGGCCCCCATTCTCCCTTCTTTTAATAGGATTCTTTTTTTTTCTTTTTTAATTTGGGTAAGCCACTTGCATTCCCTGTGTTTTCTGGTTATCAATCCTTTATCTGAGATATAGTTTACAAAAATATTCTCCCATTCTGAGGGTCGTTGATTCACACTAATCACTGTGTCTTTTGCTGTACAGAAATTTCTTAATCTGATGTAATCACACTTATCTGTTTTTGAGATTGAGGATGGCCCTCTTAACCCATGAATGCCTTGTACACACAAAGGCAGTCCTATCCAGAACTGACCCACCACTCCAAGGCATCCCTCCTCTCTCTCATTGCCAGGGATTCTAGAACTTACCTGGCTATCATTGGGCCATACCTGAAACTTCCTCCAACACAATAAGAACACCAAAGCCCTCTTTTTATCTCACTCCATTTACTAATATTCATTTAACATAGTAAACACAAGGGCTCACCATGAAAAGGCACTGTACTCAGCATTATAAAGGAGAAGACAGAGTCTTCACCATCACAGTTCTAATAGTCTACTCACTGTACAACTCTGCAGAAAATGATAGGTTTGGGGGCTGGTAGATGACATGGTGGTTAAGGATGCTGGACTCCCACATGGCCGACCATGGTTCATGTCCTAGACGTGGCGGCCTTCTCTCTCTCTCTTTTTCTTTCTGTCCCTCTCTGGTCAAATTAAAATAAATAAATAAATAAATGAATAAATAAAAAGTTAAATGAAATTTTCTCTTTTATTTTTTTTGGAGAGGTTTTTGCTATAGGGCACGTAGGCTCGCCAGACAGACAGAGAGAGACAGAGAAACAGAAAGTGAGAAATCACACCCCCCCAGGGGGGATGGCCACGCCACAATCCCTTCTCCTCCATTTTCCTCCTGGGATCTTGGGCACGCACGCACACATGCCCGGCGTGAGTTTAAGCTACTGGGTTCAGGACCCGAACCACAGTCGACTACATGGGAATCCAGTGACATAGCCATTACACTAACTGCTGGCCCCTGAAATATTTTTCTAAAAAAGGAAATGATGGTTTTCTTGGTGTTTTCCTTTTTCATTTTTTTTTTATGAATTTACTTTGGCACAAAAACTTTTTGAAATTCATAGTTTTCCCATTACACGTAGTTACATGAGCTTTTTTTTCAAAAACAGTTTTTAATTAATTAATGTACATTCATTTTGTAAGCATCGTCACAGCATAAAAAATGTGATTTCCCATCCAGAATATGCTGCATAGTGGCTTAATCATGCATGTTATTGTCAATAATTTTCCATTTCTCATTTCATATATATATGTATATTTTTTAACCCCTATTTCTGACCCTCTACCCTTTCCCACCTTCCTCCCACACTATCCCTGATGTCTAGAGTTGTTTTCCATTCCTTTTCCTCCCACATTTTATTGATCGCACAATTTCTTACATAATCTACTTTCAATAGCAAGGTCAGCTGGTAATTTCAAGAAAAATAGTTTAATTTTAATAAGTCAAAGAAATGCTAAGGAACTTTGCTTAAA